CACGGTGCCGGGGCTTTAAAGCTCTGCCGCCGTGTCCGCCATCCCGCTCTATGTATAAGTGATCATAAAGGTAGACTAAATGAGGCATGTGGTTCTCCTGCTTCCTCCTGTAGAGGGCACTTTTTAAGAGGCTTTTTTAAACAGTTAAGCACTAAGCAGAGTCATCCACTGTGACTCTGGCAGCAACTACTTCAGCCTTTTTCCTTTTAATTTTTTTTTTTCATGATGACAGTGGTGAGGCCCTGCCTCCCCTGCCTCTCCTGACTGTACGTCACTGATAAATAGCTCTTTGAGTATTTAAGATTGCAGACCCCTGCCTTAGATGCCACACTAACTTCCAACAAGGTGACTGGGCTGACCTCCTCCCCTTCACAGAGGTATCTTATAGCAATGCTGTTCACAGCAGCACCATTCAAGTTACAATAGCCAAGACTTTGTAGCCATTCCAGAACTACCACAGACCATTGTGGGTAACCTGAGAGACAGCCTTGAGAAAGAGATGCCTGGAATGTCCTTCTGTTTGTGGCTGCAGTGCTGGTCCATCAGTTTCCAATCCCCCTTGCCTATGGCAACTCGAGAGCAGGCCAGGGACGATTTACGAGTTGATATTTGGCTCCCCTCACTTCTTGAAGGCAATCTGTGCAAAGCAAAAACAATTTGAGTACAAGTGTAGAATTTAGGGCTGCACCACCACCCCTGGCTTGTTTGGTTTTTTCTGCATGGAATTTTGCTATGAGGTGGTCAGCCTGGATGTCACTACTCTTTACCCAAGATGCCTCTGATAAGGAGTAACCCTTCCACTTGATTAAGAATTGGAGTTGTCTCTAACCACAGGTTTTAAGAGGCTATTATGGAATACTGGGTGTATCTTCCCTAGCAGTCAGGATAATTTTAATTACATTCTGACTGGGTTGATAATCTTTACTATAAACTTTGGACCCAGTTTCTTGCTGGGGAGTTTTAATCTCAAGTATTTGTGGAGAGGTATACCACCTCCCCCAACATTGCAGGCTTGGTGTTTGTTTGCCTGTTTCTTATAGATTTGCACCGCTTTAGCTAGTGCTTTCTTGACATTCTCCCATGTTGCTTTCAGCATTGATGTTAAGTATTCAGAGTGAAGCTAGTGGGCTTCACTCAGGTTCACCATTCCGGTGGAACCCATTCCAATTTTTTTTTATTTTATGACAGCTCACTATAAAAGGACAAGCTATCAGACAAGCCGGCTGCTGGATTATACATAGTTGTTAAATAAAGAGCTGTTTGTTGCTGAACATCTTGTCCAGTCTCTTCATTTGCCCAATCTAACACTGGCGACAAAGGTGGGTTCGGAAGACAACTGAGACAAAAAGAGCGGACAGCTAAATCCAGCCAAACCCAGTCAGAGTGAATGAATGTCAGGCACCAAGCAGCCATTTTCAGCTGCAAATTTAATCTGCCTCGGCATGCCAAAAATGACAGCTCACACCCCACCAGCTCCATGCAATCCAGCCTCTGAGCACTGGGACTCTTGTGTCACTCATTTTGAGTGCTTTATGGAGGACAACAACCTTCTTGGTCTATCAGACAATAGGAAGGGGGCTCTCTTCCTTAGCTATTGTGGTTCCGAGGTGTTCAACACAGCAAAGGCACTTTCCGCACTGGCAGCTGTACAGACGGTGCCCTGGTCCATGTTGCAAAACACACTGAAAATGCACTACGTGCTGATGCCATCCAAGATAGTGAGGCTGTCAGTGTTCCAAGTATCATGCAGAATTAAATCAGAGTCCAAGGCAAAACTATCCTTAAAGTTCCAATTTAATAAGTCAGACATCTTGGTACATCTGTGGAATCCCAAATCTGAACTTCCTGGGATTCCACCCAGTTGAAAGTTCATGATCTTATCCCCACACCCATAAATCCACCACATGGTCCAGTCTTCTTCACCCACGCTGGCATCTCCACCCAGCTGCTTCTGGTCAGGTGCAGAGGTACGGAGACAAAAGATGACCTTGGACTTCTAGAAAAGAATGACAACAACACATTCTACAATTCTACTCCTTTCTTTTCCCCCTCCCAACTACTAATCTAATGAAACAGCATAATGAAATAACAGAGAATGTGGCAG